CTCCACTTCCCCAAAGGGCCAAAATTTCATATAATCATTATATAAACCTCAAACCACTTTCTTAAAATTTTAAATACTATTATCACCACTAGATCTAAAGTGAATCATATAAATGCACTCCTTTTGGTACATTAACCCACAAACTCCAAGTTTTCAAAAAAAAAAAAAAAAAAAAACTATTATTATCATAAAAATCTTAGAAAATATCCGATTTAGATTTGGCTTCATAAATAAAGATTCATGTAACAGATTTAATGAATGGGTAAAATGGGTACAAAAATTAAATTGCAACAGCTGCTTTCTTAGTTATAATGATTGTGTGCTTTCGGGAAGAATGCCATGAAATAGAGTAAAAAAGAGTCCACAGTGTTTGACCATGAAAATTGAATTGAAAATTGAAACGTTGGTCTATACTACCCAAAATTTAGGTATTTTGAGATGTTGGTCTCATTTCTAAGAATTTCTCATTTTAAGAATGTAGGATTTTCAGTGACAAAAAGTGTCAAATATCTTAATATATTGGTTCCCCCATCTTTCAATATTTCCAATATGGATACTGGCGCTTTCTTGTCAAATTAAAATTGATATAATACCCTCATTTTTCTTTCATAAGATTTTGCATTATTGCCAAGATAAGTAGTATATATTGATCTTAATTTTTTACTATTTTTGTATATACAAAAAACACGCAGAACTCACCTGATATACCTGGAAAAAGACTCTGTGGTTACATGACCAGTTGCAAGATCAATGTAGCTTTTCCACACACCTTTTTTAGATTTGACAATTTTTATGACGTTCATTTGCATTACTCTCTTATTCATTACGGACAATGTTGATTTCTCCCAATGGTTTGAAGTTTGGTAAAGGTTTTTATTCAATTCCTGTTCACATTCTTTAAATTGTTCAAATGTCAATACCAATTTTGTGCCCAATCATATTTGCACATAAGTCACATAATAACGATATGTACTTATGTTTCCCATTCTTACTTTTATGGTATGGGGTCAATATGCTTCATTTACATTACGTTTTATTATATTTTTGACATTTTCAATGAAATAACAGAACTTAACAACATTCAGTGGTAAAATAATTAAATTGAAAAATTCACAATTTTTTGAAAAAAATTCACAAATTTTTGAAAAAATTTCCAAAGCCTCTCAGAAAAATGTTATTTTTTCCAAAAAAAAAAAAAATAATAATAATAATAAAAAAACAGTAAAGAAAGTCGTAAAGCTTCACACAAGAAATAAAAGTTTTTTTGGAGAATTTGTGAGAATTCAATCATACCAACTGTGATTCTAAAGGAGCTGTGATTCTAAAGGAAAGTCCAAAGGATCTAATATATGAGAGGAATATCGTCCTCTGAATCGATTTCTACTAAATTTGCCGACGCATTTGTGCCTTTCAGTTCCCCGAAATTCGTTACTACGAAGTGCATATTACGGCTGTGCAGGACAAATTCAACAAATCGTATGAACAATATATATGGGAGTTATAGTTTTATATGAACCGATAGTTATATCTCAACAAAATTGGAATACATGTTTCTAGACTCGATTTGGTCATATGTGCCAAATTCCATCCTATGTGGGAGCTATATCCAAATCTGAACCGATCTCGATAAAATTTTACAAAGGTATTTCTGAGCTATATTTGATATATTTCCCCAAATATCGTTGTTACAGATTGCTTATTACGGCTGCGGAGGACAAGAATAACAAATCTGATGAACAATATATATGGGAGCTATAGCTATATATGAACCGATTTCGAACCGATTTGGTTATAGGTGCAAAATTCCATACTATTTGGGTTGATATTAAAGGGTGAGATTAAAAAACTGCAACCAACTTCGGACTGCTGTTATTTCTAAGCCACAGCTGCAGCTGTTAAAATTATTCCAGTGGCAAGTGTACAAAAGCATTTTGGTGAGAATTTTCTAGAAAAAAAAAGTTATTCGTGATGGAATTTAAGCGTGATAGTGTGATTTCTTTGTATTTGGCTGGAAAACCACAAGTGACTATCCTTAGAACACTCCAGCATTTAAATGTGAATAAATCTTCTGTATCTCGTACCATCGCTCGTTACCGTCATACTGGTAGCATAGCCCGACGTCATGGAAGTGGAAGGAAGAAAACAGCAACATCAGGAGAAATTGTTCGAAAAGTAAAGAAGCGACTTGATCGAAACCCGAGTCGAAATGGCTCGTGAGCTGAACATATCGCAATATCCCATTGAAATTCAAAAGAACTAAAGAGTTGCTTCGCTTGACCGAAAGTGGTGAACTGCCGAACTTGGTTTTCTCCAAAGAGAAAACTTTCGTTGTCTAGCAGTTTGTAAACATACAAAATTAACGTGTTTACTTGCCAAAGAGGTCAGCTGAAAATGTTGGCCACCAGAACTCAAGCGCCGGCCATGATGATGGTGTGGGCCGCCATAACAGCCGATGGTCACTCTCCGCTCGTCAAAATAAATAAAAAAAAAATGAATATTATCGCGAAAATATTCTGGATTGTGTATTATAGCCTTGGACACGCAAACATTTTGGCCGCAGACCTCGGCCATTCCAACAGGACTCAGCGCCATCGCACTCAGAACGCGCCACCCAAGAAAAATGAGGTTCCTCGCTTCATTTCCAGCGCACAATGGCCACCAAAATCTCCGGATACCAAAAATATGCCAAAGTGTCGATCATCACAAGCAAGCGCTTCGCCGGAAACGGGCCAAAATACCGCAGAGCAACATTTGGGCAGCGTGTGACGGTTTCTAAAATTTGATGCTATTTCCTCATTTAGAATTTACTCATTCTAAAATTTGATGCTATTTCCGACATTTTTTGCTTTCATTTGACTTTGTTGCAGTTTTTATATCTCACCCTGTATATATGCTTTAGTACAAAAAGCTTAGCTGTCGAAATATTAGTTGTGTTCCAGAACATGCAATATCGTACTATATCACCAGCTTCAAAGTGGCTGAAGTGTTGATTTTGAAGGATTGCCATACAATTGGACAGCTTTACTAGTATTCCGCTCCCGTTCCTTTTAAGCCAAACAGTTAAATCAGAGCGAATGTAACATTTCTCTCTTTTACTACTTTCACCATTTTAAATATGAGAATACAAAAATTCATAACCGAAATAATAAATAAGTTAGGTTATTTGATTATAGAGGAAATTCTAGGGTACCTGTAAGCCCACCTGGCAAAGAGGAAAAACTATCTGAGAAACGAAATCTCAATCATATCAGAAGTTCGATATTGTAAAAAATTGGCATTCATATATGGGTATATATTGATGGTATCCTGGCATGCCTTTTATTGGTTGCATCATTTCAAGACCCCCGATTTGGTTGTATGACAGTTGTGAGAACTATTATTTAAACATCATTTTTATTTCTTTTTGCTCTGTTCCAGTACCTGCAAGAATCTACTAGTTTTGCCATTTTTTTTTTCGATATCATAAAGGTAAAATCTGTAATCGTGGTGAAAACTTTAACATTCTTGTAGTTCTTGAAACCATATTTTGACTGAGGTCTGTGGCTGATACATATCTACGCGTCTCCTATATGGAAGGCAGATTTGCTGATATTCTATAAATAACACTCTTCCGATGTGTTTTCTACAGCTACTAACACTCTAATTTTCGGAGTTTCGCAGTCTGAGTCTAGTAAAATGGCTCTACTCGACAAACTTGGCCTAAAGTAGTCAAGTAAATTATGATATAACGAACGTTTTTAACTAGAAAATAAAACTTCCAATACGCAAATGGCAATACGCAAATAGCCTCTAATGAATCTTCCTAATTGAAATCTAGAAGCGCCTCATGAAATTTAACTTGGCATTACTTTCGGAAATTATTTAGCACATTCAAAATAGGCTTTACACCTCGTAGAGGTTCTTAATTTTCTTTCCAATTAACACCAACTTATTGATCATTTCATGCACTTGGTAACAGTGCCAAGCCTTGTCTAAAATTTACTTCCGTATTTGCGAAAATAAAAATTCTGTAAGTGGTTATATCCAATGCCCCATCCACTACTCTCTCCTCAGCAAATATTTGTTCCGGTTTTCTGTGGACTTAGTTTCTTAGCACTTTTGTGGCACGTTACAGTTCAATTATACTTTATACATTTTATTCCAGTTGCAATTGCCAATTATTTGTTTCGGAAAACACTAGCAACAACAACAACAACAGCACCAACAAAAAGCAAGATTTATTGATTTAATTATTGTTCAATTAATAAAACATTCAATTGTACCACAACAAAGCCAAACAAAAACTGCTCCCTGGCTGGCAAAGAAAAAAAAGCAAACAAAAAAAGAACAATAAAATAAATAAAAACAATGAATAATCACCACCACTGTATTGGCGTTGTTGCGTTTTACTGTTATTAACCGGTAAAACAAATTAAATTAGCTAAATCATGAAACGTAAATTGATCGATTTATAACGGCATGGATAAGTCTACAAACGTTTTTAGCTACAGAGCAAATGTTTTATAGTTGGAATTATCTGTAAAAAATTGCGTAGCACATCATCAGGTTCATCAAAAATTGAGGCAGCTCTAGGATTTTAAGATGTTCTCGAAATAGTGTATCTTCTACAATTGTATAAAATTTCTTTAATTTTTTTTTATAAAACTTTCACGTGAAAAGTTATTTTCTCAGCTTTGTTAACTTTCTCAAAATACCAAACGAATATTATAGACGACCTACTGTAGCGTTCCACAAACCGGCTTCATTTCCCGACAATAATTACCAGATTCATTCATCATTGAAGACAGGCTGAAGGGTTCGGGGAGTCGACCGTTAATAAATTATAATGTTTAGTTTTAATTAAATGCGAATGATAAATAACAACAGCAACAACTGACAACAAACACATCGTAAATGTGTGCATAACGACACATTTTATTTAATCGCTTTAAGCTGCAATTAAATAATTTAAAAGCACCAACATTTCTAATCGCTTTATTTCACTTTTTATTTATTTACAGAGAGGAGCTGGCCATGAAAATTGGTCTAACGGAAGCCCGGATTCAGGTGAGTCGATGTGACAAATATTGAAGTGACATATGTCCAACAACAAGTAGAGAGTTGCACAGCACCGAAAATGCATCGTATGCCTTCTGGGGATTAGCTTTTTCAGAATCGTTGGAATTTTATACCAGTTTTTGGAGGAATCTTTTTCTTTTTTAGCAATTCCCTTCGTTTTGATTATCCAAATTTGAGCATTTTTTGTAGACTTGGCTACAAGCGTAGTCCAAAGATAATCAAACCTATATAGTATTTTAAAATCAATTAAACGATGGAATATTCATGTATATTCAGCAAATTGAGACCATACCTCTTAATTTGTAGAAATTTTTTATTCGTTTTATACGGAAAGTTTCGAATTTCGATGGATCTCTTAACTTTTTTCTCTCTCCGGTCAAAAATCTGTAACTGTTTTGAGCATAAAGATATTTCCATATACTTTTTTTGCTGTACAACACATCTTAAGGGTTTGTTTAATTTATATTTTAAAATAAAAACCGGTTCTATTATTGTTAAGGGGTTTAAAGTCAAATTATTTAACTTGGCGATGTGGATTTTTGTTCTCGTTTATATACTATGCAGGGTATATTCTCTTTGTCATTCCGCTTGTAACACCTCGATCTACTCACGATAGACCCAACAAAGTATAGATATTCGATTTAGAGATGTCCGTCTCTCTGTTGTAATCCCGATCGATCTTTCGAACGAATTGAGACAGAAGTTTAAAATTTTACAAACATGTTTATTCTGTCAGTAGGCAGGGTAATTTCGTAAATAGGTAACTTCTGTTCTTATGGAATTATCGAAAATTCAGATTTAAGAGTTTTAACGGGTTCTACCTCCTGTGGCAGAACATTGTCTGCATAGGTTCACGTTCTCCCATGACCCCATATAATTTTACCTTCCTATATTTAATATTTAGACTCTTTAAGCCACTTTCACCCGAATAATTAGAATTTTGGTGATTTTTACCACATTTTTTAGCAGATTTTTATACCCTACAACACTATTTGTTGGGGGTATTATAAGTTTGATTGGGGAAATATTGGTTTCCCACATAGGAAAGTATATATCGATCTTCCTAGCTCGCCGAGCTGAGTCGATCTAGCTATGTATGTCCGTCCGTCCGTCTGTCCATGTTAATTTGTAATCACTCTACAGGTCGCAATTATGGCCCGATCTTCACGAAATTTAGAATGGAGGTGGGGCTAGGGTCAGAATAGAGATGATCACATAATATTTAGGGGTTGAAATGGACCAAAAACTGAAAAAAATTCCTGATTTTGCAGTTGCTCTACAGGTCGCAATTATAGACCAATCAAAGCGGAAGGTAGCATGGGGCTAGATCTTAGGGCTGGGCAGAAGTCAAAATTTCCATTAAAACGCGAATATTATTAATCCCGGCGAAATCACAAATAGACGAACAGGTCAATTCTGATCGTTACGTAAATATATCGGTTATATATAGCGAAATATATAAAATGTGTATATAGGGAAGGGGATGTTAGTTAAAATGCTTATATCTCAAGAATGGCTGGGCCGATTTTGACAAATTCAATTCAATTCAGAATGCCCTTTTGACATAAAAGTATAAAATCTAAAAAAATCGCATAAAAAGGTAACAATAATGATGTTTATATAGATTTTGTAGTATTTTGTGACATTTTTTTTATTTTTTCATATTTTTTATCGCATGCGAATTTTTAAATTTGATTTTTTTTATTTTTTCACCTTACAACACAGGTTGGGGATATTCTATAAGTATTGCAAATCCTCAATACTCCGATCCTCAAGGAAATTCTCACAAGGGTAGGGATGCGCTCAAAAGGGCTAGGCCTATTGTTTTCAAAGATGTCCACAATATATTAGGGGGTTCAAATGGACCAACAACTAACAATTTTCCTGATTTTGCAGCCGTTATAAAGGTCACAAATAGAAACCAAAGGACACGAAATCTGGCATAAAGTTAGAGTTTAGGACAGCGGGTACAATGAACCACTAATTTTATGTGAAAAAATACCAGCATTACTTACAGGCGATATCCGAATTACACAAAAGGCGAATTTCTGTCTTTTTTATGCTGATTTCGTTGACGAATATGGCCAAATATCGTAAATAAGCAAATCATATAGATGAGTCTAAATTTTAAGATACAGAGGGGCTTCTTGCTTTTGGTGATGATTTAGGGGTTCAAATTAACCAAAAACGGAAATGTTTTTCCGATCACACAATTAAAGCCAATCGACACGCCTGTGAAGAGAGTTAAGGACAGGGAAGAATTCTAGCATTTTGGATGACCATTGGAATATATTTAGCTGTAAAATGGACTACGACAACTAACAGCCCGACGGAGTGCATAAATGTTGGGCAAATGTCCCTATACATAAGGGGCCTCCAACATATTGTAGTGTTGTAGAATATAACATAGTCGGCTCCGCACGACTATAATCTTTGCTTACTTGTTTAATTTAGAATTTGAATAACAACCATAGACTTTTTACCAACCGATTTCCCTGGCAAAAAATTGATGTGGACAAAATATTCAATTTTATTTTTAAAGGTTTTCTTTATCTCATGGTGAATCTTATTAAAATTTCGTCCCGGCGGAACTCGCGATTTTACTTGTTCAATTTGATTTTTTTTAAATACATTAAAAACGATGTATGCCCTCAGCTTATGTGCGATTATTTAAATGTATTCTGACTAGGGTTATGATAATTCCAAATTGTCGATGCTTTATGGGAAGGGTACCGAAGGAGTATTCTCATTTTTCCCTTTTCGCATCGCCGATCTAGGTCTGATACAAATATAACGACACACCAGGTTAGGACTATATGAACTACTTTACCCAGTTTAAATGATATAAGCTGATCCATCGGGGTCGCTGGCCCGTTGTTTTAGTTTTGAAAGACCTCGTGTCCATTGAAGGAACAAAAAATATATTGTGAACATTTCTTATTAGCAATCAGGTCCCATATTTAAGTATTTATTATTGAATGTTTAATTTTTGACCCAAATAAAGGGAGTTGAAATGAAATGATGGTTCTTCCGCTCACTAAACGCCGCCGGCCATTGTTGTGTCCATTGCCGCTCATTATGTCCAATTATTTATTAGAGGGATTTTAAAAAATATGGTCGAGGTCGGTTATTCTACTCTTCAAATCAATTAGGATTACGTAGATCATTGCAGTAGTTTTCTATACCAAATAATATGATTGTATTCACGGGTTCATTACTGTATTTGGATTTTAAAACCAAGAGAGGTCATGTATAGAACCCACCAAATCATGTTTAGATTGAGTTAATTATACCTACCAAATTGTAAGACCATATCACCAATTGAAATTTATGTTTTAAAAATAAGCGCGACCACGCCCAAAATGGATTATGGGATTAATTGCCAAAGCTCTATAGTATAGTATCGTATACAAATTCTTGAATCGATACGTTCAGTAGTTTGGATTGGCTTGGGTTATAATAACTCAAAATTTTGACACATTATGGGTACCAGAAGGAGTGGTCCATTCTATCCTATCTTCATACCGTATCTAGAGGTGGCAGATATATTTTGCAATGTGCTGATTTAAAAAATCGGAGTTACTAGAAGGAGTGGGCCGCTATTATCCGTTTCCAAACTCGATATTTCTGTATCAATGATATTACTATGTATCAAGTTTGGACTAAATTGGATACTTCAAAAAGGGGAAAATAAGGCACATGCCGCGCGCAATATTTTCAAATATTTTTGGTTTACAAAAGTCATATTTAACAATTTACATTAATAAGCTCATCCCGAAAAAAGAAATAAACAAATAGTGAGATTTTATCCACTTAGAACAGGTTGTGACGAAATTCAGCTAATCTGCTAGAATTGTAATGCACACAAAAATAGCCCTGCCAGTCGAACTTCTATGAATGAATATATGCATATTTCAATATTTTTCCATCTCATATCCTCAAATTAAATTTTAGACTTTTTATAAAAAAAGTCGATTCAAGAGAAAAACTAATCCCACAGCAATGAATAGAAAGCATTGCTAACCATAAATATGTGATAGAAAAAAAAAACTAACAAACAAACGAATATCATAACAAGGAGAGAGAGAAAATAATTTGCCAAACAAATAAAACGGAACGGCCAGATGATGTGGCCGCAGACATTGCAAACTCCATGAAATTAATTGAATTCATGGAAAATAATTAAATAACAATTTGATAACAAATGAGGTTGTTCAGTCAGTCATCGTTTTTGCCGTGGCTTTTGTTTTTGCTTCGTTTTCAGTTGTTTGATTTTCTTTTGTGGTTATTTTCTAAAAAAAAAAAAGAAAAACAAAACAAATTATTAATTATTATCCATCATTTCATCATTGTGGTTTTCTTCTAGGTTTGGTTCCAGAATCGTCGAGCCAAATGGCGTAAACAAGAAAAGGTGGGTCCCCAGTCCCACCCCTATAATCCTTATTTGCCCAGCGGTCCTGGAACAATACAGACGGTAGTCGGTTCCGCCCTGCCTCCGAATCCATTCACACATTTGGGCTTTGCCAATTTACGGAAGCCCTTCGATGCCCATGCCAATATTGCCGCCTTCCGCTATCCTCATTTAGCGGCGGCGCCCATGATGTCGGGCTACTTTAATCAGTTTCAGAGGTAACATTCGAAGCTCAAATTATCAATTAAAAATTGTGTTCTTTAATTATTACGTATGTGTGTTTGGGTTTCCTTTAATTACAGAGCACCGCCACACATGTTGCCGCCGGGAATGGCATCCATGTATTCACCATCAACATCATTTCAATCGCTATTGGCTAATATGACGGCCATGCCCAGACCACCACAGATAGCTGCCAAGCCACCCATGTTAATTGGTTCGCCGGATTTACACTCTCCCAATCATTTGATTGCCTCTCCTCCCACATCACCATCGTCGGTAACCTCACAACCGGGTTCAACAGTTGCTGTCGCCGTCTCGCAACATTCACCAGTGGTGGGGCTTTCGTTAGTTCACTCATCAATGCCGCCGGCAGTGCAGGCACCACCACCACCCAATGTACCTCAGTCGAATGTGGTGATGTCGCATCATTCGCCCCAGCATCAATCCAACGCCGGTGCGGCAACAACCAATGTCATACGTTCTGGAACACCACCGGAAGATCGACGTTCCTCATCAATTGCTGCCTTGCGACTGAAAGCCCGAGAACATGAACTGAAATTGGAAATGTTGCGTCAAAACGGTCACAACGATGTGCTTAGCTAATGTCGGCATTCCTTCGCCTTGAGATGTGCCCTTCCAGAATAAATGCAGCGTTGGTCACGTGGTGTAGTGAACCCCCCCAAACCAGTGTTGGTTAGAAACTTGATGTTCGATGCTGGTTAAGGACATAACCTTAGCCGTAGTTGTTGCTAATATTAGTAATTAACATTTTCAGTATACGTTTCTAGGTCCCAACGTGCCGGGCATACAGACACCTTAAGACCACAAACACAACCCCAAGACCCACCATAGTTAAGTCGTTTTCATAGCTAGATAGTCATAGTATTTGGAATTGTATTACGTATGTATGTGTTTTACTTTTTATACCCTACACCACATAGTGGTAAGGGTATTATGTCTTTGTGCATTTGTTTGTAACATGGAGAAGGAAACGAGATAGACCCATAGTTACTTTTGAGAACCTTCATAGAATCACTTTCTGAGTCGATTTATGCATGTCCGTCCGTCTGTCCGTCCGTCCGTCCGTCCGTCCGTCCGTCCGTCCGTCCGTCTGTCCATGTATTCTTGTGAACAAAATGCAGGTCGCATTTATTATCCGATTGAGATGAAATTTTCCAAACAATATTTTTTTGGCCCAAGGACGAACCCGAAATTGGTGAGAATCGGATCAAATTTAGATATATCTCCCATATATATCTTCATCCGATTTCGGGTTAAATGAGCACCAAATGTCCACTATCAGTCCAAATTACCTGAATTTTGGCACACCCAACCGGGTTCGGCCTAGAAGCAAGTATATCAAATTTGGAGAAAATCGGTTCAGATATAGCTATAGCTCCCATATATATCTTTCATCCGATTTGATCTTTAAGTCCCTCACATTCCTACTATGCACTCCACAACCGTGATATTTGGTACCAGGTATTAGATGGAGCACAGAAATAGCTGTTTTAAATTTTATCGAAATCGGTTCAGATTTGGATATAGCTCCCATATATATCTTCATCCGATTTCGGGTTAATTGACCACCAAATGGCCAATATCAGCCCAAATGGCCCGAATTTTGGCACATGTGACCGAGATTAGCCTTAAAGTAAATACAACAAATTTGGAGAAAATCGGTTCAGATTTGGATATAGCTCCCATATATATCTTCATCCGATTTCGGGTTAATTGTGCTCCAAATGGCCGATATAAGTCCAAATGGACTGAATTTTAGTACATCGGACCAAATTCAGCCTAGAAGCAAGTATATGAAATTTAGTGAAAATCGGTTCAGATACAGATATAGCAACCATATATATGTTTCATCCGATTTAGTGTTTTAGTCCCTTACATTCGTAATGTTCACTCCACAACCGTGATATTTGGTACCAGGTATTAGATGGAGCACAGGAATAGCTGTTTTAAATTTTATCGAAATCGGTTCAGATTTGGATATAGCACCCATATATATCTTCATCCGATTTCGGGTTATTGACCACCAAATGGCCGTAATAGCATCAATTTTGGCAAATCCGACCGAAACCAGCTTAGAAGCAAGTACACCAATTTTAGTAAAAATCGGTTCAGATATAGCTATAGCTCCCATATATATGTTTCATCCGATTTCGTCTTTAAATCCCTCACATTCGTAATATGCACTCCACAGAAATGATATTTGGTACCAGTTATCAGATAAAGCCCAAAAATAATTGATTTTAATTGTATTAAAATCTGTTCCGATTTGGATATGCCTCCTATATATATCTTCATCCGATTTCGTGTTAATTGTGCATCAAATGTTCAATATCAGCCCAAGTGGCATGAATTTTGGCAAATCCGACCGAAACCAGCCTATAAGCAAGTACACACATTTTAGTAAAAATCGGTTCAGATATAGCTCTAGCTTCATATATATGTTTCATCCGATTTGCTCTTTAAGTCCCTTACATTCGTAATATACTCTTCACAGGAATGATATTTGGTACCAGATATCAGATAAAGCCCAAAAATAGTCGATTTTGATTTTATAAAAATCTGTTCAGATTTGGATATAGTATAGCATAGCATATCTTCAAAGGAATGATATTTGGTACCAGATATCAGATAAAGCCCAAAAGTAGTCGATTTTAATTTTCTCAAAATCTGTTCAGATTTGGATATAGCACCCATATGTATCTTCATTCGATTTCGAGTTAATTGTGCAACAAATGGCCAATATCAACCGAAATGGCATGAATTTTGGCATATCTGGCCAAATTCAGCCTAGAGGCAAGGATACCAATTTTAGTAAAAGTAGTTTCAGATATAGCTATAGCTCCCAAATATATCTTCATCCGATTTCGGATTAAATGTGCAGCAAATGGCTAATATTGGTACATCAAATTTAGTGAAAATCGGTCGGATACAGCTATAGCTCCTATATATACCTTTCATCCGATTTGTGCTTTAAGTCCCTCAAATTCGAAAAATGTACGATACAAGAATAATATTTGGTATCAGATGCTGCCAAGAAATATCTTCTTTTTCAGTTTTACAAATATCGGTTTAGATTTGGATATACCTCCTATATATATCTTCATCCAATTTCGTGTTGATTGCGCACAAAATGTCCAATATCAGCCCAAATGTCCTGGGTTTTGGCAAATCTGACCGAATTCAGCCTAGAATCAAATACATCAAACTTGGTGAAAATCGGTTCAGATATAGCTATAGTTCGTAAAATGCACGATAGAATTAGATAGATTTTGATTTTGTACCAAATATCTCATAGAGCTCTGAAATGCTCTGTATAAACCTTTTTACGAGAGCTCTACTAAATATGCATAGTGGTGTAGGGTATCATATAGTCGGCCCCGCCCGACTTTTGAGCTTTCCTTACTGGTTATGTTTGTATTTGAAGAAGCGAAGGAGGAAAGGAGTAGGTGAATGAAAAATGACGCCACTATTGTCGCTTTAGTCGTTTAATTTGCAGCTTAAATATATTTTTAAAACAATGACCGACCAAGTTCGGTAAATGTAGTTTCGTTCTAGTAATTCAGATACGAATTAGTTTGACTGTCACTCTAACGTGACGTTTTAATTTAATTTATATGTATGTATGTATTTTAATTTAATTTAAGATCACTAATGATTTATGGCAATATCAAAGACTTTTTCTGACTAGATTTAAAACGCAAACCACAACAATAATAACAACAACAACAACAACAGAAATGAAAACCAATAAAAAAAGTTTTGTGATATTCACAAAAGAATCTGATGAAACGAAAGGGTGTTTTTATTTCTTTGTTTTGGAGAACGTATGTATGTGTGTATGTTTCGCCTTGGCGTCTTTCCGTTGGAATATGTTTTATGGTGCTTGTGTCTTAAGTCTTTCGTTTTGCTTCTTGTTTTTTTTCTCATCTTTGTTCGGAACAACGGAGTAGCTGCAAATAATCCAGTAATTTTTATGTCTTAATTTCATTTCCACGCTTTGGCTCAATTAGCCGCATTAGACCTGGCGTTTAACTACTCAACTTCGGTTTGCTCGACACTAATGCAAACACAAAAGATACTCTGACTGGGTGGTTGCAACCAGCACCTGTGGTCCACAGGTCGGATTAGTATGCATTGCGGACGATTACAGAGGCGCCAGCTAATTTTCTTAAACACCCCACATGAAACATGGAGACGTGAATTGCCATTTAACATCTTTTAGAAATGTTGCATCTGTCTTAAGGCGAACGAAATGGCAACAGCAAGAAAGATGTTGAACTCTATCTTCTCGTTTGATTCCATATAGAAAAATTAGTTTGAAACATGCCACACAAACATGGAATTTACGATAATAAGCTATTTAGCCATTCTTTTTTTTTAATAATTATGTTATTATGATGCTCGATTACCTCAACAATAATAAACAAATATTCTTTTCCTGAAGGACAAATAATCAGGATAAACTAAAAACACGAAATGAAAATAGACTTCTCAGGTCCATCTTTTATTACCTCGTAATTGGATACTCTCTTCAACGACTACAAGAGGCTGATGATAATATTAATTCCCAATAAAGTTCACAATATCAATTTAAAACAAGCATCCTTAGGATGTCATATTTTAATGTTTTGTTTGCTGGTACCCCAAGGAAGGCTCAAAGGTGAAAGGCGAATCTGATATTTACTTTCTATCAAAATAGCAACATTCTAATCTTATTTTAATTAAATACATTTATGTAATAGGTACTTTTATAAAGAGTTGTATATTCATGGTTAATTTTACCTAAAAATTTTGATATTTTAGAGGACTTAGAAGTGAGAGCGATTTGTGTGGCGACCGCATGATTAGTTAATAAATAAAATTAATAAATGAAAAAATGTGATTCAAAATCATTGGATTTTTGCAAATGCCAACTTTCAGATGTTAAAATTGAAATAAATCTGTAGTACGATTTTCTAAAGTTAACGACAGAATGAACGACATTTCGTGATAGCAGCAATCTTTCTATCGTTTATGTTTTCGGTAATAAAGGAATTTTGTCGGAAACAAAGCGACGAGATTAAAGCAGCCGGCAAAACTACTGTTGTTAACTTTTAGTTTCTATTTTCATGAAAATTATGCCTATGGATCCGACCAAAGTATGTTTTACTGAAAGTACTATTAAACGACTAATTCATACTATAATTTTTTTTTGTATATTTGCATATAATGCATACGTAATTTATGATTCAAATACTTGCAAAAAGCATGCAAATATACAAAAATTAGTAACGATTCCGAACTTCAAATACGAATTTTGAAACAATTTCTGTGAATACTGTAGCTAATATCGAATAAATTGAGGTACCAAATACGAAATTTGAAACAATTCCCGTGAATAATGTCGGTAAAATCGTGAAAAAAAACCGAATTTAGGGGGTACCGTTAGATGGGTGATATACTATATCGTGGACCTATATAGACAATGGATGCTATATTAACAATGACTTACTTAATATAGCATCCATACTACCTATGGTGAAGTTTAAAAAAACGTTGATTGCTTACCTTCATATTACAGAGAGCAGTGTATTTCAAAACGAAACTGAAAATTCCTCATCGCTACCAATATCACGTTAAATTATGTGACCATGAAAATGGCGAATATCTGGAGGTACCGATATACGATGGTAGGTTTTAAGATATGGACCTGACGTATTTTGGTGATGCTGATGTACAAAACATTTTACCATGGTGGAGAAGTTGAATATTTGTGTACGCTACGTCAAATTTTATGTAACGGTGTTAGTTGTGTGGTAAAATGCGTCGAGTACCGAGTACGCCAAAATTTAAGTATCGCTGTAAAAAGATTTTTAAATATGGCACAAGGGTACACATGAAGGCACCCCTGAAAGGACGTAGTTTGTCTTTTCTTAATGTACAC